GATGACGGTGGGGCACGTCTCCTAAAGACGCAGAAACCTTGACGTTTGACACTTCCCAACATTCTTCAAGTGACGATGACCTCTCAAAAGACCCGACAGTTTCACGGGTGGGTTTAGATTGAAGCCGCCGGCGGCGGTATCATCATTGCCGACAACCATCCTTACAAGGGGCGAAGCATGAGTTCGCCAATATCACGGTTGAACACGGCGACGGACTCGTCACCAGCGGTCAGCCCGTCGATCGAAGCGGCAATAGATATGGCCATTTCGTCGCCGCCACAAAGCTCCACCCCGGCCGGGACAGACTCCTGGGGCAAATGAGAGGCGACACCCATCGGCAGCAGCGCGGAAAATGAACCCAGAAAGAGCGTTGGAATATTTCTCCGTAGTCTTGTCTGTCGGTGACGGCACAGCAAGAAACATTGCGTACGGTGACAAGCACTCTCACCTCAAAGTGCAGGCCAGCCCACACCCGGGAGTCGCCGCACATCTCCGAAATCTCGCTCCAGCTCGCGAACGTCACGAGCGGATCTTCTTCGGGTTGTTCCAGCGGAGGGTCGATAGTGTCCGTTCCAGCCCACACCCTGAGTGCACTCGCAAACGCCTAAACCAGCACAACGGAAGAAAGGACGGCCAGGGAGAGTACATCGCTGCAGTAGTCTTTACACGAGCCGAGGAACATGGCTCGGAACCGCAGAGTGAGGGATAGGCGTTCAAGGAAGGCGACACCACTACAAGCTACTCCGCCACTTTTTTCGACACACGATAGCTGTAGGGTTTAATCGACATACAAGTACATACATTTCATTTCACAGCAAGCTGCGGCAGGACTCGTTTCTGATATCCTTGTACAGAGGTAATCGGTGGTATGTAGAGCACCGGATGAACATAACATTCCTGCCACCTCCGACGAAAATACTGAAATACCAACAGTTGAACCGGTGTGCTTCTGGAAACTGTGTCTGAAGGCCATTCACTCTTGCTCACCTCACACAAACAAGAAGAAGCCGATGGATACTCAGAGTGTGGCATGGTGCGGATGTAGGGTTCCTGAAGGAAGAGATGCGAATGCCAGGACAGATAAGCGATAAGACGGGCGATAGTGTAGCACAATTCGGAAATAGTAGTACGTGCGCAAAACCGGGTGAAATACGTGGGAAGGTACTGTGGAGAGAGAGAGAGAGAGAGACAGGCAGAGAGAAGCACACAAAAAACAACCAATGTACCAGGACACCATATAGAAGTATAGCAAGAGGTGCGCGCGGACATTCCGAACCATACCACAGCTTTGCTTCAAGACGCACTCCATTCAGACCTACGGGTGAAAATAGCATTGACGTACCCATTCAGAGGCCGTCATGTTCTGGACACCGTTGTCTGGACCCGCGTAGGCCTCGACAATCTCGTCTCCGATCTCGTTCCTGGCCGTTCAGCGAAGGGTTAATACGTACTGCTGTTAGGAACAAATAACTGAGGTCACGTGACGAACGCTTATGACCGAGGTCGAACAAATAGGCTACCATCCACACGCAGCTGGTGCTCGTACCACACCCGCCGACTTTCGATGCTGATTGGCTCACCTCACCACTGAAGGGGGGCGTGGAGCATCGTGGCGGACCTGAACAAGCAGAAAACGGCACGCGGATGATGCTATGAAGACGAGATGGGGCCAACAAGTTGTGACCACAAAAAAATCGTCCGTTCCACGCCTCCCACCTCTCTCTTTCCGGGGGGCTTGTGAATGGCAAGGCTTGATGCACTGCTCGAAACTGGGTTAGGGCCAGATTACGGAGGGGGGGGGGGTACTTACCGTATACTAACTTATACATCTCACTATTTGGGTTTTAGACTGACTGTGATACGACCTTGTTTGTAGCAAAAATGGTAAAACCGTAATTGATGTCATGCTCTGTTGTATACTTGTACTACTATATACTCCACACACGGTCACATATACCGACTGACACATTTTAGTAGAGAGCGAGTGAGCGGTGGGTAGGAGGAGGAGGAAGAAGAAGAGGAAGAAGAA